AGTGGGGGACAGTAGCTTCTGAGAATCTGGATAAGAAATTTTGTGAACAGTCTTCAAACACTGTACCTCTTTTTCCTCCACCCATTTAGGGCAAGACCTAAGGTAAGAGGGGTGGGAACCACTACCATTAACACAGTGAGGGTCCAGTTTGCATTCATAGGTGTCGTGGACCTTGCCACCACAACGAGCACATATCACAGAACCACAACAAGATGTCTTCGATTGACTGAACTGCTGGCACTGAAAACATCAGAGAGGGTTGGGAGTATAGAGCCATATTTTACAGTTCAAATAACCTGCCTTAACAGTGGCAGGTGGACATGGTGATGAAAACGTCAAAATCAGAACTGAGGTCGGCACCATAATACAATCTCGACGAGTGGAGATCCTTCGAACTGCTGAAAATCCTTGGCTGGAGAAACCAGCAAGAATCTGACTCGGGGATAGACTTCAAGTCCCTCTCAACAATAACTCCTCGTGAGGAATTCAAAGAAGCATGGGGAGTAACCTCAATGGGTATATCCCCAATGCCCCAATGCTTAGCTGTGGATGTTTCAACCAAGATGTCTCCAGAACGGAGCTTCTTAACTGACGTTGGAGAGCCAGCAAGCCCCTCTAAGCCCTTATGAATAAAAAAGGGAGACATCTGCCCTAAAGATTTATCAGACAGTGAATGCAGGATCAGAAAGCGAGGTACAGGTGTACTTTGTGATGGAGACTGCTGTTCAGTCTTCTAGGCATGGTCGTTTATCGATTAGCAGAGTTTTAACATTTGTTTTCTTTATTTGGATTGGAGGATCCATAATTAAGAAGAAAGATTCAGTGCCCACTGACCCCACCTGCCATGGAGTCTTACGAGGGGATGCACTAAAATGTCAAACAAGGACACTGCAGGAACGTCAGGGTTTCGTGAGCACTATACCCAAACACCAGCATCAGACACAATGTCCACAACACCCACTGAGAACGCCCAACACTGGTACTCAATTAACCCTAGCCTGAGTGGAT